GTGACCGCCAAGTCGGCGATCACCACCTTCTTGGCGGCCTCGTTCCGCAGTACGATGTCCGGCCGCAGAGCTGCACCTGTGTACTCGGGTACTGTCTGGTTCAGGCGCAACTCTGTGGTCGACTTGGCGCGCTCGAGGGCGGCACGGATCTTGGACCCGATCTGCTCCAGGGCGTCGTCATGGCGCTGGCGGATGGCGTCCATGTTGGCCGCGCAGTGGTTGAGGGCATGGGCCAGCGTCTCGGCCGAGGAGCAGGTCGGGTCCCTGCATGTCTTGTTAGACCGCAACCGCTTGCGCGTGAGCACGGCGTTCGTGTCGACTTGGTTGAGGCGGGCCATGATGCCGAATCGATGCTCCGCATCCGATAGGCCCGCCCCCGTCGTCACGAACTTGGATCCGAGGCCTCCGTGCACACGTGCCGTCTTGCCTTGGTCCACCAGCCCTTCCCACCGGGTCTGGTGGCGGATCTTCATGTGCAACTTGACGTGCCGCAACACGCTCTTATGGCCGAGCCACTTGGTGTGATGCAGCACGCGAAGTGCAAGCGGATCGTGGCCGTCTCGGTCATCTTGAACCGCTAGGGTGAGGTGGTGGAGGCGGAGCGTGCGTTGGACGTCCGTCCACACAGAACCGATGTCGCCGTTGCGGCGGAGGCGTTCCGCGTAGGGCGAGGCGGCGAGCTCGGAGTTGAGGAAGAGCCGCACAAGCTCGTCTTCTCGCCCGCGCCAGTGGTCTTCCTGCAAGCGGTAACGCTTGCGCGCCACCTGGCCCACCTGCGCCTTCGCGACGGCAACGACGGCAGCGTCCTGGGAGTGCAGCATCTGCCAGGCGTGTGCCACCTGCAACGCCTGGTGCATCTCCACGAGCGACAGCAGCCCCAGCCCACCACCAGACGTTGGTGTGTAGAAGAACTCGGTGGTGGCGGACTGGGGGAGACGCAGTAGGTGGCGCAAGCCGCGAATCACGGCGCGGTCGAAGCCTTGGAGCTGGGACTGTAGCGGGCGCAGGTGGCGGAGCGCGTACTCGACCTTGGGGTACACGAAAACCTTGAGCGCCTTTACCACTTGCCACCCCGCCAGTCCCGAGTGCATCAGTGCCACCGCCTCTCGCTTGATCTGTTGGAGCTTGGGTTCAAGCTGGAGGCGGTGGCGCACATGGTCGAAACCATCGCCCACCCCCAAGTACTTGTAGCTCTCCTGAAGACTGAGGGTGGCGATGGTATCGCCGTGGATGTCCAGGCGTACACTGTCGTCTCTGGCCGGGTTTCCGCGGGCGTTGGTCGTCACGGCGAGGCTGGCGCACTTGGCAGGGTTTGCGCGCAACCCAGTCCACGCGAGGAAGCGAGCGACAACGCCGTGGCACTTGCGGATGCCGGCGGCGCTGTCGCTAAACACCTTGAGGTCGTCCGCGTAGGCGGTGGTGCACGGCCGTACACCGTCCGCCAGCGGCACTCCCACTCCGTCGAGCTGCTCCAGTCGCCGTACTAGCGGCACCAGTGCCGAGATGAAGAGGAGGGGGCTCAAGGGGCAGCCTTGGTAGACGCCCACCTCCTGACGCACCGGATCTGTCGGTCCATCGGCCGCGTTGGTCACCACGAAGGCCGATCCAGCGTAGATGTCTTGGCACCGCTCGATGAAGCTGGCTTCGACGCCGAGGTGGCGGAGCACACGCCACATCAGCTGCTGAGGCAGCGACCCAAATGCGTTCCGCAGGTCATACCAGACTTGGTACAACCTGCGGTGCAGCCGCCGCGTCTGGTCCAGCAGCGTGGTGGCCATGAAGTTGTGCTCATGGCACCCGTTGAATGCCCGGAACCCTTTCTGCGCCATTGGAAGGCGCTCGTTGCCCTCCAGCCATCGCGATAGCCGACGGCCCAGAAGCCCACTGTAGAGTTTGTAGATCGTGGGCTGCAGGCATATCGGGCGCCAGTTCGATGGTTGCGTCGGGTCACCCTTCTTGTGGATGAGGCGCACGATTCCCACCTTCCAGAGGGCGGGCACGCGTCGATGCATCCAGCAGAATCGGAATGCGGCGTGGAGGAGGGGTATCAGCTGCATGGCGAAGCGGCGGTACACGTCGTAGCCGATGCCGTCGTGGCCGGGGCTCGAGGTTTTGGCGGCACGAGTGAGTTGGTCTTCAATCTCGTCAAGCGTCAGGTCCTCCTCGAACGCGTCCGTCTCACTGGTGGCTGGCTGGAAGCTGGCCAGTGCTGTTCGAAATTCGTGCCCCCGTGGGGCCTCGTAGTCGAACGGCGCCGGTGCCGTGTTGGTGCCGGTGAAGTGGCGATGAAGTTCGTCGCGGTTGATGGGGCACGTTGTCGGGTGTTCGTCCTCCGCCAACTCGGCCGACACACTCCTCAGTATCTGCTCCACGCACTTCGCTTCATCCTTGGCGAACGCTTGGCGCAGCTCCTGCTTCGCCATCGACGCGCGCACCCGCCCGACCCGTCGTCGTGCCGTGCGTATGGCGCGCTGGTCCGTCGGCGCTGCTCGCTGCACCGCAGACATGTTATCCAAGGCCTCGTCCAGACGGTGCTCACGCTGGTTGCGCGTCACGCGGGGTGGGCGTCGGCGGTGCTGTGCTGGTCGTGGTCTTGACGCGGAAGGGGGCGCGGTGGAGAAGGGCTGCAGTGCCTCACGGATGCGATCGGGGATGCTACTGATGTAGCCCTCGCCTGAGGCCCAGCTGTCTGCGTCTTCGATCTTGCTGGCTACGGTCTCAGTGAGCGTCTGCAGAGCGGCAGCCGCGGCATTGTGCTCGTCGTCGTTGAGTTGGCGAAGTCGCAGCCGAGGTTGTCGCGCTGGAGTGGAGGCGGGGCCAATGGGTATAACAGGGAAAACCTCGCCGCCATCGCGCGCAGCAATATCAGCTGCGGTGTCGGCCTCGGTATCACAGTGGGGGATGTCGTCGTCGCCTGCCTGGTTGCCAGTCGAGCTGCAACGCGTTGGGAGTGTGGCGGCCGTTGTGGTGGCTGCCTCTGGGTGGTAGCATGTCGTCTGGGTCTGAGCGTGTGGACCGCACTCGGTCGACGTCCGTCTCTGATCCAGCGCCCGGTTCGCGAGGCGGTCGGCGTGGGCGTTTGCCTTCCTGTCGATGTGGCGAAGGGTATACTTGTCCAGCGCGGCGAGCGCTACGCGTACCTTGTTACGCAGACATCGGAGGCGCTTGTTGGTGCAGCCGAAGGTGCCTCGCACCTGTGCCAGAACCAGGTGACTGTCACCTTCTATTGTCAGCATCTTGGCACCATGGTGAAGCGCGCTCTGTACGCCGAGCAGCAGCGCCGTATATTCGGCCGAGTTGTTTGTTTCGCCGCTGCTCGGCATGTAGTGCGAGCACGTCCATACCACAGTGTCGCTGGCGTCAAAGAGTGCTGCCCCTGCACCACCTGCTCCCGGGTTGCGTCGGCACGCACCATCGAAGCGCAGCGTCCACAGCTCAATCGGGACCGGTTCAGTTTCGACTGCCATCGTGGATGTTGATGGCGTCGTGTGGTGTTGAGGCGTTGCTGTTGTTGCCTGCGTGGCTGTCGCCACCTCCATCTCCACCGGTTCCGGTGGTGCCGGTCCTCCGTTATCGTCCAGCTCCGCTTGTGTTGCCGCAGTGGCGGTCTCCATGGGCTCCGGAAGTTGGCCATTGGCCCCGGAGGCGCGGGCAGGAAGTTAGCCTAAGGCCCCTGCTGCGCGTGGAGGCCCCCATCGCGATCCATGACGTCGGGCGGCGCGGGGTATGCACACCTTGGGTCCCCACCGTGTCTGTGTCCGGCGTCTTCCTTCACCAGGCTGAGTTGAGCGAGATACTGGTGCCGCCCTGGTCGGCAGGCCGGTGGCCAG